AAGCCCTTTGACCTTTAATAATGTGTGGATGCACCCTGATGTGCTACGCATTCTCCAACGCGCCTAGGCATGCTTCTGATCAGGGGGTCAATGTCCTCCTGTGGTATCTCATTCCAGGCAACCACCACCTCCTCTCGAAGTGCTTCTAGAGTCTGAGGAGGATGTTGCAAATTGAGCAATCTCCTACCCATCATATCCCACACGTGCTCAATTGGGGATAAGTCGGGAGATCTTGGTGGCCATGGTAACAATGTGACATCATTATGTTGAAAGAAGTCTATTGTGACTCTTGCAACATGTGGTCGGGCATTATCTTGTTGGAAAGTTGGATCTGCCAGGGTGTCAAGATAGGGTGAAAGATGGGGTTCTAGAACTTCGTGGATATAACGCTGCGCGTTCATGTTACCTCTGATGAAGATTAAAGGTGACCTAGAACCATAAGCCACAGCACCCCAAACCATAACTCCAACAGTGTGATGAACATGTCTTTGAACAAAAAACTGTGGATTCCTCCTTTCACCACGTCGCCTTCTAACCCTGGCACGACCATCGTGCATGCCTAAACAAAATCGAGACTCGTCACTAAAGACAATACTGTTCCATTCCTGATCCCAGAGTGACCGTTGTCTGCACCACTCAAGGCGATTACGTCGGTGTTCTCGAGTTAAAGGGAGGACCCAGTGTGGCCGGTATGAAAACAAGCCAAACTTCTCATTCGTCGGTAAACACTTCGCTTGCCAATAGGTCTTCCGTGTTCTGCAAACCATTCATTAGCAATGGACCTGGTAGTGGAGAAACGGTCCCTTAAGGCCAATAATCTTAGGCGGCGATCTTCACGGTCTGTTGTTCTACGGCGGCGTCCAGTGCCCCTTGCTCTTTGCGTACGGCCTTCTCGAAGCCATGCCTGACAACACCTAACCACAGTGTCTACACTTCTTTGCACTCTAACTGGTATCCGTACTCTAGGCATCGTAACCGATCGTAAAGGATGTCAAGAACCAAAATCCGCCAACGTTGATTCTTTACTGCGACTGAAATATTCATTTTTAGAGCGTTAGTGAATTAAAAAAAGCAGTATAAAAACCGGAATGTCCAACTGATGAGGCTGAAAATTTTTTCACTTGTTATTTACAGTAAGATAAATACATTCACCAACTTTATTAAAATAAAACCATTTAAACTGGGTGTTCGGATTTATATGTCACTTAGTATATTATGGACCAATGAGAATATACCTTATCGAAATGGAATTCGACGGAAGCTGTCAAAGCTGTCTGAACATCAGTGATTTCTATTGGAATGTTGAATAAAGTCTTTAAAAACGGTTTGCCTTATAAATAAGGGTACGTTATAGATTAATATTATGTCTTGGTGCTTTAGAATTAGGATAACTTTCATAGACGGTCTATTATTTGAATGGACCAATGAAAATGCGAGAAATAATAGGTCGATTTTCTAGTTATCATATTTATCTGTATATCATCTTTTGTTACATTAAAAACAATTTTTGCCAACTTATGAACTAGAAATCCACACCAGATGTAAACAAACAGCACATTCTGGATTTCTGGATCCTAAAACATCGATATTTGTAAAATTATCCGCATTCACAAATTATTATTCGTCTAGATATTATAGTCAGAATCAAAGAGGCCTATTTATGAAAATATATCTCCAAACATTGTTTAATTTTCGTGTTGTTTCTATTATTATAACACGACTGGGATATCAATTGTTTTTAAAGTGATCTGCACATCTGCAGTGTTGCCGAACCGGCAAAAAAAAAACGGAATCGGTAAATCGTGTCGTTGAATTCGGTATAAGGAAAATGCCGTCCCAAGAACAGGGGTAGATCAAGGACCTTTGAGTCACGAAAAATGTCTGTTATTGTATTGGGCGCGCACACAACATGTTTTTTGAGGGCATAGTTCTATATTACTCCTTTTTAGATTCTTGCTTATTGGATTGTGAATATTTTTCTGTTTTATCCCTGAACTCATGAACTCACGTCTCATTTTAATCAAATATTTATTTTGAAAACAGACAGGTGTAGATTATATAATATATATGGGGATTTAGGGGTAGTTGAAATAATAGGTCTTACTTTAAGACCAGCTAAAAAGTAATTATTCTTTCCAACCCAAAAATGATACACTTGCATTCCATAATTGGCTATGCCTACCACCGTTTATAAAAGTATACATAATAATATAGTTATATTTCCTAAACAATTTCACTAACCTACTTACACAATTTGCTAATTCTAAATACATTATAATATACAGTATGATTATATACTAATACTCCAATTATACCTACATGCATATACTACATCTCCTACTAAAAAAAAGAGAAGAAAAACTGAAAAAAAAGGTTTAATACGCAGGTATATAAAACACGGTTTTACTCTATTCTTGTGTATTAACTTATTTTTATTTCCTATTTTTACTAAAATATTGGGAGCATTATCTTCGATAACCACATATGGGCCGTTAAACCACGCTTCCATCTTCGTACCGCCCTCATTTTTTATTAAAACGTTATCCCCTGGTTTATAGCTAATTGTATATATTTTTAAGTCGTAGTTCCTTTCCTTTTATTTTTTGAAATTAGTAAACTAGTCTTTGCATCAGCCTGAGCCTGCTGCAAACGAAATTTATGTTCTAATGGATAGCTATGAAGGTTATATAAAGGATCAACCTGTCGTTTTATATTTGAAGGCTTTATTGCTTGTCCGGTGATGAGGTAATGACGGTAATCTACCAGTCCTTCTACCTACCTTTTTATGCACAAAAATCAATTCAGGGCAAATTCAACCCAAATCTACGTCTCTCATGTGCCGGACTGCGAATCGTGGATGTTATCAGTAAATATTCTCTTTTCGGTAAAAATACCGAATAATCCGGTTCAAGTCCATGCATAGACAATCTGAAATTTGCAGTATGAATTTATATTCTAAATTCTATGCATATTCTTTCATACCCGTCAATATTTCATTTAAAGCTTCTACTATAATTGTCATAAGATTTAGCAAAGTGTAAGATAGTAAGGCAACACTGCACCCTGCAGCCCAGTTGAGAAGAACGACAAGCTGTCAAGATTAGGGATGTTTAGATCCACAAAAAGTATCGATATGTATCGATTCTTATCATTTTAGCAAGTATCTATAACCTTGGTGAGATCCACCCTAAATAACATTAAAAAATCACGTAGTCACCTATATGTACACAGGATGTCCTGACGTGAATGAGAAGTGGCTTAATATATATATATATACTATAAAAGGAAAAACGATTTGCGCAGAATTGACAACTTATTTCTAAATTATTTGGAGATATACAGGGCGTTCTTGAACTCCGTGGCACAACAACTCCCCTCATTTTATTAAATATTTGGTGAGACCGTTTGGAATCAAGAAGATCCATAAAATGCACTGTAGGATTTTGATCGTTATTTGTTTAGTCATTTTCTCATTTTTCTGATACAATGTTGATCTTTCACTCTGACTTCCACCATTTTGCGTAGCTTTTCACTGAATTTTGGAAGGTGGTTGAAAAAGTACGCCAACTTATTAGCCAGATAGCTGTTCAAATAAACTACTCGAATTAGCAAAAAAATCTTATGAAACGGAAGACTCGACGGGGTAAAATATACAGGGTCCTACAGTTAAAAGTTTTTAAGAAAAGCTACATCTTGCGTTTTGCAACACCCTGTATAAGCTGGTCATATTATCGCCATCATATCAATAAACAAAATACGCAAAATGAAGGACTCAAATGCAGGTATTTTTCAGACAAATGACCATCGAAATCCTACAGTATACGGTGTCAATCTCCTTATTCCCTAAAGCTCTTTCCAAATATCTTATAAAGTATAGGGTGTTCCTCTAGAAAAGAGATATGTTTCTTGTGCCAAGCAATTGCGCAAAAGCTTGTATATTTCTAAACATAATTTAGAGACACACACCTATTAGATGTTATCTAGTTGCATAAGCTGTTTTCGAGATTTTATAATATACTACTTTCAAGTTTTGATAGGACACCCTATACACGTGATTTTTATTATATCTTCAAGTCCCTTTACGAGGGATGTCTTTTATGTTTTGCATATAGAAATATAGTAGGCCGCGCAGATCGAACGTCAGTACTGAATATTAACCTCACCCTTTAGTAAACCTAAATTCAAGTTTCACAATGTTCTCACTACAGTGAATTTTTAAGTGTCACTAAGTCATCAGAAAAATGGAACTCAACCGAGAACATTTTCGCGCCATAGTTTATTACAACTTTCAGAGGAAATTATCGCAACAAGAATGCATTGCTGAGTTACTGTCTGTTTTCGGCAACGAAGCGCCACATCAGTCGACAATTCCCCATTGGTATGAAGAATTCAAACATGGACGGGTGAGTCTTAGCGACGATTCCAGGATAGGGGCACCAAAAACCGAAGTCACCCAGGAAAACGTCGATGCTGTGCGCAAACTCGTCATTGAAGATAAACACGTGACATACCGCGAGATTGAGGCGTCCTTGAAGATCTCAAAGATCTCAATTCAAAAAAATCTCCATGAAGAATTAGGAGTAAGAGAATTAGTTTCTCGTTGGATACTTCACCTTTTTTGACTGAAGAGCAGAAAGCAGCCAGGGTTAATTGGTGTCAAAAAACGGTTTCAATTCCGGAAACTCAAAAAATGTGTACTGCATTGTTAGTGGCGATGAGTCGTGGATTTACTGTTATGCACCAGAAAATAAACGACAGCCGGCTGTTTGGGTGTTCCAAGGTGAAGAAAAGCCAACAATAGTCATCCGTTCTCGAAGTGTTTCGTAAAAGGTGGTCGCGACATTTGTGTCAAAGCGGGTCATATTGCAACAATTCCTCTTAATGAGCAAAGAGCTGTTACTGCGGATTGGTATACCACCATTTGTTTGCCAAAACTCATCACCGAGGTTCGAAAAATCAACCCCGAAAGAAGGATCATCCTCGACCAAGACAATGCAAGCTCGCACACAGCCCAAAAAACAAGGCAGTACTTAACGGAAGAAAAACGTGGAATTACTGGACCATCCTCCATATAGTCCCGATCTAAGTCCTAAAGATTTCTTTACTTTCGCGAAAATTAAAAACAGACTGCGTGGGTCAACGGTTCCAGTCGCCAGAAGAAGCAGTTGACGCATTAAAAAATGCCGTTTTGGATCTGCCAGCAAACGAGTGGAATAAGTGCTTCGAAAATTGTTTAGAGCGCACGCAGATGTGTATTAATCTTCGTGGAGAATACTTCGAAAAACAATAAAGTCATTTAAAACTCCCTACCGTGTTGTTTTATTTTCATGTGCAGAACTTAAAATCATCCGTCGTAGTACAATAAAGACTAATTGTTCTTCTTAAAAAGGTGCAGGTAAATGAAAGCGTTACTGGGCTTTGCATTTGGAGTTGGAACATTTGACGAATTTCTTTAAAATTAACCAATGCTCAACCTGTTTTGTACCTAGTACTTCTTGGGATCCCAACATTTCTTCTTCTTGTGCTTGGAAACTAAAGAACGTTAACTAGATGACTGGATTTCGGGCCTGCTGAGGCCTTTGAAGAATAGACAAAAACAAGACCTTGCATACTGAACTTTGTAATCACACTTAATACATGCTCATTCCATTAAAAACGGTTATTTGAACACTTTACTTATATTTTGCATGCGCCTGTCCCATCATGAAAATCGAGATTTGAACAAACCCTTTTCCAGGTATATCGCCAATGTTTATTCCAATAAATACCAAGGAACAAAATATATTCTGCTGTAATAAACACTAGCAAAAAGATATATACTTTGCAGTTGCAAAGTTGCGAAGTTTATGTAAATACAACTTTCATTTCCCAAGCATGCAAGCAATCGCTCGAAGTTGTTTACTTTCCTTAAGCCACATTATTTTGTTTACAGATCCGGATCTTGGTTACAGATAGTTTCCCTGTTTCGGTAAGCAATATCACTATATTAATCTAATATTTTTTTTTGTTACTGACTGGACAACTCATAATTATTAACTGCAATAGTGCCTCATAGACAGGTAGATTTCTTTCTGTAGATAAATAGTGATCATGAAAAAGTCATAGGTCAACAACAGTGATTTGAAATCGTATTTCACTCTCTTGATTTAGTCATTGCGAAGTAATGACTATTAGGTAGCTCGTCATTTAGCTGCTCTTTTGAATGTCTTGAAAATTGCATTATATGGGAAAACAGCTTTTCTCTCAGCAGAGTAGAGAAGAGAAACACAACGAGAAACGTTCTCTCTGGACGTTTCCAAATATTAGTGAAATGAGTATGAAACTTCGAGATAACTGATTTACGTATAGATGGTATTTAAAAATGTCAGCTGGACACCATCTTGCAATATTTCTTTTGAATAGGATGGGGGTTATGTGATACTTCATTTTGAAGCCTCCAATGAGCATATAGAATATAAGATCACCATCTTTGAAAAATAGTGGACTGACAGGCTGTCAAGGTTGAGCGTTTTTAATATTAAATCGATGGTAACTCAACAAATTTTTTTACTTATACTTGAATTACCATATATATATATATATATATATATATATATATATATATATATATATATATATATTTTGAATAGTGTAGGGATTATGTAATACCTCATTTTGAAGTCTCCCAAGAGCATATAGAATATAAGATCACCATCTTTGAAAATAGTGGACTGGTAGGCTGTCAAGGTTGAGCGTTTTTTAATATTAAATCGATGGTAACTCAACAAAAATTTTTTACTTATACTTGAATTACCATATATATATATATATATATATATATATTTTTTGAATAGTGTAGGGATTATGTGATACCTCATTTTGAAGTCTCCCATGAGCATATAGAATATAAGATCACCATCTTTGTAAATAGTGGACTGGCAGGCTGTCAAGGTTGAGCGTTTTTGAATATTAAATCGCTGGTGACTCAACAACTGTTTTTTACTTATACTTGAATTACCATGAAGGCCTGAAAACGTATGGGTACCGCAGGGCTATAGGGGGATACAGCGAAAAAGGGAGACGCCACACGGACTTTAGCGAGAGAGCACGTGTGCATGTAACCTTTCTGGCCCTATCTTAGGAAACTGAAGAACTAATCACCAAATCAATATTTTTCTCCACGAAAGGCCTTGACTGTGCAATGAAATATGGGTCATTCAGTTTTAAAGAGAATATTTTATATTACATATTCCGCGAAACCTTTTTAAGAGGAGAATACTTATATAATGCACTATAGCGTTTTGATGATGAAGTACTTATACCGATCTTCAGAATACAGTATCACTTGATTATGTTCCAAAACTGCGTCCAGACATCATCATGTCATTTCCAACTGCCTCTGTTATACGAGCCCCTTCCCACTTCAGTTGGCCCACTTCAAGATTTGTACCAAAATATGCCTTTATAAACTAACCATGACGAAACTGTTTACTTCTAAAACAATTTATTTTCTCAAAAACATTTTAGATACACTCTAGTCGTAAAAAATACATATTTGCAATCACTTAAACCTATAACTAATATAACATCTGAACAAATAAAGAATGTGCGAATAATGCGCGAAGTTAACAAAGCAACAATTGAAAGATTACCATTGGGTAACATCACCTTCATTTTTTATTACTGCTGAAATTCTTTGGGGCATAGTGTTAACCAAGTTTTGGAAAAAATTTGGTGTAAAACAATCCCATATTTCTTGAAGCTTTTGTCTCAGTTCGGTGATTGTACGAGCAGGATGTTGTCGTAGAACCTTTTTCATCTCGTGCAACAAAGTTTCAATAGGTGACAGATCTGCACTGGTAGAAACCCATTTCAAAAGTGGTACGTTATTTTCTTCCATTCATTTTATAACCTTTTTTGAGCTATGGCACGCTGCACCAACTTGCTGAAACACAAAATCTTGGCCGGATGTCAAACATTCTTCCATCACTGGTAAAAGCGATTCTTCTAAAATTGCCAAATATTTGTTTGTATCCACATTTCCATCAATAAAATGAGGTTTTCCTACTTCTTTTGATGACATACTGCCCCAGACCATAATGGATGCTGGAAATTTCACTTTTCTCTTCAGACAGTCAACATGGAATGCTTAATTTTTTTTGCGTATACCTCTACTGCGACTGTCATCAATACAAACTTCGAATCGGGCCTCATCACTTTATTGTATTGCATACCATTGTTGAGGTGTCCATTGTATATGTTCTTAAGCCTATCTAAGCTGATTTTTCTTTTGCAGTGGAGTTAATGGCTTTTCTTTGGCCTATAAACAAGTTGTGCAACTTTAGGGTTTTTACTTCACTTTTTTTATAAGAAAACTTACCTTGCAAGTGCTAAATCCCAGTTTGTGGGCCTCTCTATGAGTTGTGGACCTCGAAATTCTCCTTCCAACAGCGTCACTCCACAGAGTACTTAATTGTAAACAATTGGCGCGCCTGTTTTTTACGATTATTCTTCTTAATGCTCTTCGGTCGGCATTTGTGATATTCCTTTTTTTCATATATCGTGGCTCAATATTACCTGAACCAGTTACGTTATATCTTCTAACAATATTTCTCACACTGTACCGCGATAAGTCTAACAAAGTTGCATTTTCTGAGTTTGAGTTCCCAGAATTAAAAAATTGAATTGTCCGTAACCGAATTTTCTAACTAATAACCTTTTCTCTACCCTATTTGTGTTTGATAAGAAAAACACTAAGATTTCAATAGTTGGGCCAACTGAAGTGGGAAGGGGCTCGTACTAAACTTTTATGCTTCTAGTTCATCAACTCAAATTTCACCCTGCGAACCTGTTCAAAAAGTAAATAGGGGAGCTTTTTGAAAAGCACTGTAGGATGCTAGTAGTTAAAAATGGTACACTGCGTACCTAATTTGAGAGGCGGGTCATTATCTCAGGTCTCAGGAACTGTGATACAAAACCAGTTAAGCATCAAAGCTGACTACTACTCGTAGTCGTAGCAGTAGTAATAGGAGTGGTAGCAATAGTGAGCTAGCGGTAGTTGTGGTAGTGGTGGTGGTGGTGAGGCAAATCGACTAGGCTAATCTTGACCCTTTTTTAGTACCACGCAGTATCAATACTTCACATTTTATCTATGGGTAACTAAATTTCTACTTTATCACAGTCTGTCTATTAGATAATGAAATCAAATGCTTACAATTTAATGCTGTGAACAAGCAGACATATACCAACGATCTAAGTCAGATTTATAACTTTTTGAATTAGAAATTCATCGAACTTAAACCCTTAGCAGTATGTTATCTCAGAATTCACGACTGTTCCTAGTATATGTACACAAACATTAGTGATTTTTTTTTCCGTCTTGCTTCAGTTATTTTTATACAGGATTACAGTCAGCACTGGTGTCAGTTTGTGTTTGCTTTTTCATTCTATATCTGCTTATTTGTTTTTCATAGCCAGCCTAAGGGTTATTTCTTATCCTTGGAACGAGCTTTGTGCCTCATTCGATAGGTCAGATTAATCTAGCTTTTATATATTTTCATAAACCTGTTGTTTATTCAAACTTTTTTTTGAATTGTTGAGCCTTCCAAAACTATGATAATCCTTTAATAAGTACACAAGTTTATTGTCATTGTTTTTGTTTTTGATTTGCGGTTTTCTTGGTAAATATTTTGAACTGAAGCTTTTTCACTAAATGCCTAATTTACGATTATGAAATTTTACAAATGTACTTTTACACATTTCTTAGCCCTAAAGAAAGCGAAAAACAAACGCTGAAACGTTGGCAACTTCACAAAAGACACTTTCACTAGCTAAACGTGATGATAGTCATTATTTAAACGGGTGATCAAAAAAAAAATGAAGTGTACATTCTTTCGCTGTAAAGCAACCCGATACCTGGATCCAACCCTGTTTATTTACCCTGCACGGAAATAGATGTTACACAGCATTTTCCATTCGAGATATTCGCGTATACAATGATGTGTATTTCGTTCCCCGTCTTAAAATCAAAAATTCAACTTCCACTTCAGTTCAGTTGGTGGCGAAGAATATAGGAAAAATACAGACACAGCGACACAAACTAAAGCTTATAATAAAAGTTGGAACGGTATATATCGGGGAATAAGACGGAGTATATCTGGAGCAGCAGATGGCCGTGCTGCAAGAAATGAGCTGT